CTTTTTTTGTTCCCATCATGTCAAAAATAAATAAATATCAACAGCACTGAGCCTATCAAATTTAACATCTTCTACAATTTGACTATTGTCTAAATAAATTTTACCAGTTCTTTCGCAGATGAAGCAATGTTTTCTTTCACAAGGGATATCGTTCCATTGTTTCCAGGCACTGTCATACTGCCCACACCGGCCGTCGCCATCTGGTTGCTTTTCATACCATGATCTGTAATTAACAGAGTTCCCACTGGTGTTCCATTTCCATGTATTATCGACATCATGTTTATTTAAACCAATGTAGTAGTAGCCTGAAAACAATGAATATGGCATTCAAGGGAGACACAGGCAAAGTTTTCATTTCTTCGTTTTGAATTTTGCATTCATTACTCTGTAAATGTCCTCAAAATGAGTACACTAGGCAGTCACAGGAACACAGTTTTTCTCCTTATAATGAATAAAATGGTGGTTTCCTACCTTGACCCACGTGGGTCATGTTAGAGCGTTAAGATATCGTACATGTAATAGTTGTCACAGTGAACTCTGGAAACGTTCAAGAACACGACAAATGATTGACGTAAATCTGTTAAATTATTACTTTGTACATATAACTTCATGAAATCCTGATTTATTCTTCGTGCATTTACAATCTTAACTTCGTTAATTCACAATTTCAACTTCATTTTTCAATTTTAATTGCGTGAATTCACGTTTTCAACATATGAAATACGCGATTTCAGCTCCATGAATTCCTGGTTTCGTCTTCGAGAATTTACAATGTCAACTTCGTTGATTCACGTATTCAACATACGTAATTCACGAATTCGCGATTTCAACTTCATGAATTCCCAATTTCATACTCGTGAATTCACCATTTTAAATTCGTGAATTTACGTTTTCAACATACGAAATGCACGAATTCACGATTTCAACATTTCATCTTCATGAATTCACAATTTAAACTTTGTAAATTCAAGTTTTCAACAATCGGAATTCGCGGATCCACGATTTCACCTTCGTGAATTTACGATTTCAACATCACGAATTCATGAGTCCATCACTTGTATTTCAAAAACTGACCAATAATTTGGAAGTGAATAAAATATTTCGACTATTCACATACCGTGTCCATTTATTACTAAAACTACATATATTTTGTACTAATAAAAGGAAATATAAACATGTACTTATTTCTAAAGAACTATTTAGTATGTCTGTCTTAATTCGTTGCTTCTATGTGATTGTAACTGGGTTTTAAATGTTTAAAACGATTAACATCTTATCAAGTTTTTTTCTTACAAATGCATAAAATGTAATTAATAATAATAATAATAATAACTATAATATCATTCTTGTTGACGATAATTTCTAACAGCATTGTTTTCACACTAAGCATTTATACGGTTACATCTAAAATATATCTTATTGTACAATTAAAGCAGCAGGCCTCTAGATTCCTCATAATTCTCATGAAAATTTTGGAAATGTATTTAAAAGTAAAATATAGTGAGGTGAACATATAAAGTAATTTGCATATTGCAATCGGCACTTACAATCCACGAAAATTACCTAAAAGTGTTCCACTTATGCAAAAACCGCGCTAACTGCGTTAGAAACGCAGTAAAAATAAGGTGATAAAATACTGCAAAATCAGTCTTAAACCGCACATTACATAAAATATCACTTGGATCTTCAATATTTTTACCTTTCTGAAAATGTACGTTTTTCTCAATATTGATTTTCTTGAAATATTTTGGCACATCTGGAGGCGTGCATCTTTAACAGAAACTTCCTAATGCTATGTTCTCACCGCCGATCAGATCAACTCGATCAAGCACGATCAAGCGATCGGGTACCGGTCGAGCTCGGTCTGCATGCGTGATCGGGGGTGGTCGGAGCGGTCTATCTTGGTCGGCATGGCTCGGGCTTCCTACCCGGATTTTTTTGACATGTCAAAAAATACGAGTAGCGATCGAGTAGATAAGCGGTCGAGAAGCGATCATATAGTGATCGAGTAGAAGATCTAGTTGATCGAGAATAAATCGTGTAACGATCTGGTTTGGTCGGGTAAACATCTCTTACCCGATCTGTACACGATCATCTCGACTTCACGACCACGACTATTCACGACTCGAATACGATCATTGCGATCTGGTCGGATGGAAATCTGGCAACGATCGAGCAGAGGTCTAGTTGAGATCGTGTATGACTCGCGTATAGGTCTGGGTGATCGAGAAGAAGTCTGTTGGGTTGTCGTCGAGAAGTCGTAGAACATCGTGTAGAGTCGACTTGAGGTCGTGTAGAAGTCGTGCATTTAATCTAGCTTGGTCGGACTTCATCGGGTAATAAATGTGATCGGAACGATCGAGTTGATCTGATCGGCGGTGAGAACATAGCATTAGGCAAAGTGAACGCATAAGACAATTATAGAATTGAAAGGAATTATTGCAAAATGTAAACGTATTTTGACTTTCACCTGTTCACACACTATATAATGTTGGATAGGCATAATGTCACTTTAAAAGCAGTGGAAGTGTTTAAAGACACTTACAATTGTATCCAGCATCAGCTGCAATTCCAGACAGAAAACTGTTTTCAAGCTCACTCTCTATCTCTACCAGATAACTGCTCCTCTCCAAACACCATTTCTTTGTGAAAGAAAAAAATACATGACCACAACAATCTTTAATTACTTTCCGCAGAGGGTCTTAAATCATGATCTCCTATCACAAAGAACCAAGCTGTTATTTATAATTGCATATTCAGCGATATATTTTTTACATTGAAAAGCAAACAGATTTTACTGCATTGAAAATAAGGTTAATTTAGACTTTACAAGAATGGGTCTATAAAACGAAAAATAGTAACTTCACTAGTTGGTTCATGTTTCTAAAAAATAAATAAAATAGATGCGAATTGTGAAGTGAACAGCAAATTATAAAGTAATTGACACCTTGCAAACGGCAATTATAATACATGTACACATAAATTATAAAAAGGGTTTAATTAGACTGACTGCGTTAGTCACGCGGTAGAAATATATGGTGATAAATACTACAGCAAAATATAACATAATTATTCTTACCCTGGCATCTGTCCAATTCAGTTTGTTTTCATTAAGATAATAACAGGAACTATTTAGTCCCCTCCAGCCTGTTTCAAAAACACCCCAAAGGGTTCTCCACTTGGAAAATTTTATTTTTGTTTCGGGTTTAGATTTTTTTCTTTTTTTCTCTTTAAAAAAACTTTTTCCCCGGCTTTGCTAATACAAATGTTTTTGGGTAAAGTTACCTTTTGCCTCCAGATTCATGCTATTTAACTTGAACATTTACAAAAAATTAATTCAGAAGTAAAACATATTGAAGTGAACAAAGATATAATTCACAAAATCTTTAATCGCACATGATAATTATGTAAATTATATCATACTATATAAAACTTTAAATTGTTTTTATTTTTCATACAATCTTAGTACATTTTGACAAAGTTTGTTGTTCTTTGAAAGGGCTTTAGATCACGCTCAGCAACTCAGCTAATTATGGTGTTTCCGCTTCGCGTCCGCTATCATGCATCACTGGCGCCCGTCATACACTGCAGCTATATCGCATCACTGACGCCCGTATTACACTGCACCTATCTGGCAACACTGACGACCGAAATACACTGCAGCTATCTCGCATCACTGGCGCCTGAAATACACAACAGCTATCTCGCATCACAGGCGCCCGTAATACACTGCACCTATCTGGCAACACTGACGACCGAAATACACTGCAGCTATCTCGCATGACTGGTGCCCGAAATACGCTTCAGCTATCTTACATCACTGGCGGCCGTAATACACTGCAGCTATCTCGCATCACTGACGACCGAAATACACTACAGCTATCTTGCATCACTGGTGCCGGTAATACAGTGTGTTAATTACGGTATTCCGTTACGGCCAGCTCGTTTCCTCTGAGAACAAAAAGTGCGAATCATGACAATTCGATGATGACAGTACGACAGAACTATGGTGACTGTGCGACGGTATGACGGTGACAGTATGATGGTGACAATACGACAGTACGACAGAGAAACACGACAGCACGATAGTGACAGTCTATCGTACTGTCATTTTGTCCCCATTATACTGCCACACTGTCACCATCTACTGTCAAACATTCACTATCGTGTTGTGGCCTTCCTGTCGAGCATGCGCAAACATTTCACTCAACATGGCTTCCGAAACTTAGAATTGATACCGGCATTTCATAAAAAAGAAAAAAAAACTCTATCAAAGATTAACTATAAAGGAAATCGAAAGTTAAAATAATCAAAATCTATCTACATAAATATGTTTTATGATAAAAATGTACACCTGTGTATTCATTATGTATATTTCCACAGAAAAGCCTAATCTCGAAATTTTGTAATTAACTTATTTGTAAATTAATTTCAGTATTTTCTTAAAAAACCTTGATTTTTATCAACTTCAGTTACTCTCATCAATACAACGTTTGTTACGGTCATTGTTAAAATGAGACTTTATGACACTCCATGTTTTATTTAATTATGCAAATGCATTACAGGAGGGCAACAGTTCGACAGTGCGGCCGTACTATGGTGACAGTACGACATTACGATGATGACAATACGACAGTATGATGGTGACAATGCGTTGGTGACAGTACGGCAGTATGATAGTGAAAGTACGACAGTACGATGGTGACAGTTACGACAGAACGATGGTGACAATACGACGGACTGGCACCATCGTGATGTCGTATTGTCACCATCGTACTGTCATGTTTCGCACATTTCGTTCTCAGAGAAAACGCGCTGGCCGTAACGGACAACGTTGTTAATGGATGTGTTTTACGCAGAATCTATTGTAAGCTTGGTTCCATAGTATATAGTATTACGTATCGGTAGACTATCCTCATAACACGAATTCAGTCCCTTATTTGTATACGGAAATTAGAAAGCAATGCCTTTGCATTTGATATAAACATTTAAAAAATAAAATGCAAGATCTTAAGCTGGCGTATGTAAATGTTTTCGCCATTATGTAAATTTAATACTTTTAGCGGGCATATTATAAAATCACTGCGACTTTTTTGTCACAAATTTTAAACATTTATCTGAAAACACGGATGTTACAATTTAAATATTTGATCATGCTTAAAGGCCGATTATGCCTCAGAAAGGCTCTTATTTGGATGCCGCGTTAGAATTTCCAGATAGTAACTGCATTGGCCAGTTTCAAGAATCATCTTTTGCTTCTTTTTCCTTTTAACAATTACCACGGTTTTAGTACTTTAGTATTTTGTATGAAAGTCAAAATACTATATTGTTAACATTTTGCTTCTTTTATGACTAATAATTTCCGATCTAGCGCTACTTTCTTCAGGTGATAAGTATTTTCAATGCTTTAAAACAATTATTGCAACTTTATAAAACTCAAAATTACTTTTTCTAAAGAAAGGAAAAATACTCTTTCTGAGGCATATTGTACCTTTAAAGTGAATCTGCTAATAACAGAAGGACGGTAATGTCAGAAATAATAACGTTGATAGTATTTACTATTTCGAACAAACCACGAAATAGTTTATATGTTGTGAAACATATGGTACAATATTACATAATTATATTTATTTAATACACTTGTTGCTATATATAGTAACAAAATTGCCCATGATTTCAACTGATTATAAGTGTCACGTGACCTATTATGACTTTGCGGCCCGAGGCCGGAATTAGTTATCAGCCCGCAGAACTAATGCATGTGCACAAACTAAAACAATGACGTCAAATTTCACGTCATCACACAGTTACTGTTAAAGTAAAAGTAGGTTTTTAGCCATCGTCGGATACCCACGATTGATAAACATGTCACATAACATGCAATCAAATCTGATAAATGTTAATGGTTCGGCCGTGGGTATCCGACGATGGTTTTTAGCAGGAATCTCTTGATTTTATTATGAGAGCTTAAGCGTATTTTGTACAAACATTGTCTTTTAACTATTGAACTTTAAATAAATAATGCGACAAATTCATTCCGAAAAAAAAGAAAATAATAGATCCTAGTGTACTTTGTACATAACTCTGTAGAAGTAACTTTATAGTAGAAGTTCAGACAGGAATTTGAACGAAAGAAATATCAAAGTATTTGTTTAATAAAAATGCTACTATTAGTCCTACCAAGTGTACTAAATACATTAATACACGTCATAGTTGTGCCAGAAGGTGATAATCGGCCCCGAAATGAAAAATGACCTCGAGCTGAAGCCCTCGGGGCCATTATTCATTTTGCGGGCCGATTATCACCTTCCGACCCTACTTTGCCGTGCATTAAATAAGATGTTCCAGAACTAAATAATAGTTTTCATTATATAATATTTTTATATTTAAACAATTAGAAATGAATTTTGTTTTCATGCAATATCCATATCAGATATATACTTCTATTGTTTTAAATATCAATACAATGTATTTGAATTTTTTTTCTTATTTTCATCTACAAAACATTACACCATCTGACCAAGTTTAGATGTCCGCGTACCTGCATATATGCAGTAGAATCCCTTCTAAAGACCAACACCATCGTTAAGACCATTTTTAAAAGAACGGAATTTTCTGTCCTTAATGTCAATAGTTACATGTTGCAGAATTGAAACAACCTCAGTTATACACTTTTAAGACCACCGGATTCACTTTGATTTACTCATTATTTGAACTAAACAGCTACCAAGATCGCATATGTGTTGTTATTATCTGCTTGAATGCTCTTAGGCATGACACTTGATATAACTTTTTTTTATGCGTTTATTTAAGGTCGCCGCCGGAAAGCCCATATGGGCGACCGTACACTCAAGTCGGGCCATCCTAGAGCGTCCCCCCGAGATTTTTTCGTCGATTTTTTTTCCAGCTTTTATTGGTGGAGGAAGACCCCAGGTGCCCCTCCGGGCATTATTTCAGGCTCGAGCGGGCACCCGGGTAGAGCCACCGACATTCCGTAAGCCAGCTGGATGGCTTCCTCATATGAAAGATTTTGACCCAAGTGAGGATCAAACCTACAGCGGTGAGGGACCAGTGATTTCAAGTCAGCGACCTTAACCACTCGGCCACGGAGACCCCTGATATAATAATGTGTCATCAACTGTTTTATAAGGTTATTGAATGACATAAAGCTGCGGTCTCACTTACTCCCGGCAAAGCCCAGGACCGGGACGATCAAGGGTGAAGTTATTGTTGCGGTCACACTTACCCCGGCAGCACTACTGTTCCCAACTAACCACCAAGGATGCGCTCCGGATCATCCAGGCAGAGCCCAGGTGAAGCTACGGTTCATGTCGGTGTTCGGTCGTTCCCGGCTGACGCTGGAAGAGCCCCGGTTGACCCAGGCAGAGCCCCGGTCGATCCAAGCTGAGCCCAGACAGAGCCCAGGACGATCCAGGCAAACCCCCGGTAGAGCCCCGGTGGATTGAAAACGCCCGAAAATGATAACATTGATACATAATTTTAATTTAATATAATATCTTTTGTTCACAATAGTAATTCATGATGATTTTCTGAAAAATCCTTAGGCCATACTGGATAGAACTTAGAAGGGAAATGGGAAGGGTTTAAATACAAACAAGTGCAATAATCGCAAAGTGTCGTTACTCTTTTGAAATGATCCGGGCTTTTCCGGGGCTCTACCGCGATCAACCGTAGCTCTACCTTTCTCCTCTCGGGCTCTGCCTGTAGTTACCGGGGCTCTGCCGGCATTTACCGGGGCTCTACCGTAGTTTTACAGTAACTCTACCGGCTATATCATACCCCAGATCATCCCCGGTGTGTGCCGGCAGAGCTACGGTGCTTCCCCGGTATAACCCCGATCGTTCCCGGCAGAGCTAAGGATAAAGCCGGCAAAGCTATACCTTCCCGGATCATCCCGGACCACCCCGGTGATATTAAATATTTCATTCCATCCGGAGTCGAATGCAGGATGTTTCCGGATCATCCCGGATGATCCCGGACGTTGCCGGCAGAGTTACGGATGTACTGTTGTTCCCGGTCGTACCCCGGCCGTTCCGGATCACCCCGGACGTCTACCGGAGCTCTGTCGGGGCTCTGCCGGGATGTAAGTGAGACCTTAGCTTAAGGTGTGAAAGTAAAGTTTAAAGTTAGTGTGATTCAATTTAGCTGTTAGCACAATTATTTTGCAAAGAATTTATTTCTTATATGATATGTGAAATATGTAAAAAACATCATGTTATTTGTTTGACTACGATTGTGGGTTGACCACAAAAGACACAAAGTAAAAATGAAATTGCTCTCAGACGGACGGACTAAGTTCATAGCACAAACAAGTTACGCATTCATGCATGAAAACTGTTTAAAAAATTAAGCATGTATGTCTGTAATCACTATTATGCTGCGACAGAGATATTTTTTATCTTATCTTAAAGCAAAACAATATGGAAAAGAAAGAATACTGAACTAAAAATGAGGTACAAACTCAAGTTTATAAGAGTAACTTAAAGTATAGCTTACCTGAACAGAAATGAAGACCTTTGAATAAAAACACCATAAACAATACTTGAAAAAGACCCCCCATTTTTTTTAAACGTTACATTCACAAGCATCTAGCAAACAAATCCAGTTTAAAGAAAATTATTAACTGACATATCTATCGTACTAAAATGAAACATTGTTGCTCTTTTCGTTAAACTTTCCTTACGTCAAGCAAATATATAGTTACTTGAATTTAGATTATGTTACACAATACTACATCACTAACAATGGAAAGAGTACAACC